GTTCTGTCTGGATTAGTTATGTCTCTGTGGCTAGGATAACATTTCATGACTAAAAGGCAACTTGTGGAAGAAATGGTTTGTTTTGGCCTATGGCTCCCTCGTGTCCGTTACCATGGGTAAGGCATGGCAACAGGCAAGAAAAGCAGAGAGGGGGTGTTGGAGGCTCCCTGCTGCTTGAGATTGCAGTTCCCACCTGGATTGGATAGCCCTTGTGACCTCCGGGGGTTAAAGGCGGAACTTCCTCCTCTCCACAGCGGGGACCCCTGCTCTCTGCCTGACTTCATCTGAGAGTGTCTTTAGACACAGACTCCCCTAACCACATTTGACATAAGGCCTCTGACACAGCTCCCTGCTAGCTCTCCCCTCCCCGGGCCAATATGTTACTTAGGTAATGAGTTTCTATTCTTCTGATAGGAGCGTGCTGTATAATGCAAATCAAGCATCCTTGAAGTGTCTAGTTCCAACCAATTATGTACAGCTATCCTGGGAGCCCCATCCACTCCCCAAGGGATGTATAACTTTGTTTTCTAAAATGAACCAGCCGTCAGCTGTTTCTGGTGTGTGTGACCCCTGTGCAGTTCTTGCCCCTCCACTCCAGGCAAGCTTCTCATCTCCTGCCTCCTGACTTTGTGGGCTGCTGGGAGACAGTCCCTGGCAGGAGGACAGGAAGTAGTGTGAGGCTATAAGCTCTCAAAGCCCTCACACTCTCCAATTTTATGTCCTTTTTCCAGCAAGGTTCCATTTCCTAAACATTACATCATAGCCTTCCTGACAGGGGATCCAGTGTTCAAAAACATGACCTATGAGGGACATTTCTCATTCAAAGCCCTGCATGGCCTTATTATTTTTCCTGTCCACCATGATAGGAGCACCCTCCTCTTCCACATAGCCCCGCAGCCATCATCTGCTTTACTTCAGGCTCTGCAGAGTTAGTCCCAGCCTTAGTTTTTCTCATCTTAGAAAAAAAATATACAAGCTGGGTTTCCAGTAACCCAGAGGCCAGGCATGGTGGAGGGTGCCTGGGATCCCAGTACTTGGGATGTGGAGACAGGAGGGTTAGGAGTTCAGGTGTGAGGTGAGCTTCATGCTCACTGTGCGCATCTCCTTCCAAATCCCATTCGGGGACTTCAGATCTGTCACGTGGAATTACGGTAGGGATATTTTCACCATGGGGATGGGTGAATACTCCTACCGTGAGAACTCTCTCTATAGAGCCAGTTGGGAAACATTTTTCATCACACCACCAGCCTGTCTTGTCTGCCTGTCAATAGAACTACCTAGGCATTTGCCAATAATTGTGGCGTAGTAATTGTTTTTTGAGATGAGGTCTTGTTAGGCCTGGCATGAGCCTAATTTTAAGAAGGTGTGAAGAGAACCCAGGAGACTAATCATCGATGCAAAATCGCATGAGGTTTATTTTGACCATTGTGCAATGGGGTCACCCCTGCTGGTCAGCAAGGAGTGGCACCGGGAGACAAAGGCCTTGGGTTTTCAAAAGAAAATGGGTGGGAAATTCCAGGGGTTGCAATCTTGGCGATTCAGGATTAGATGAGGTATTTAACTTTTAAAATAATTGGTTTTAGGTCTTAGGTCTGGTCAGCCCTGTCATAAATATCTGATCTTCAAGTCAGTTTGGAATTTCCTGCCATATGAGATATAGCTGCAGTTAACAGTGGGAGAGTGATTAACTCATCCCATGTCTGAGGAGTCGGGGTTACAGGCTTTGGATCAAAGGTTAGGAGCTATTCAGGAGAAGGATTGGGGCCATTTGGCCCAGTTTCCAAACAAAGCTCATCCCATAGGCGCCAGCCGGTGATTTTCTCTCCATTTAATAGAGATCTCTGCTTGTTCTCTTCCTTATCTCTGCCCTCACAGATGGCGAATGTCAGGAACTTTTACATTCCTCGGCTCTCTGAAGAAGCACTAAGAGGCTTTAATTAACCTGGGCCTAAAACTTGAAAATATTAGTTATAAGGCAATTAAAGAAACATAGGCTACAAAGTTAGTCTGATTCTTTCAGTCTCACATATCCCGGTATTATCTCGAACTCAGTATGTAGCTTCAGATGGCCGTGAACTCTTGACCCTCTTGTTTCTGCCTCCCGGTTGCTGGGATTATGGGTAGTCAGGTGCCGAAGAACTTGAAGCAATGCTATCCCAGTTGCACTTGGGGCAGGCAGCAGGGGTACTTGTTGATGAAGAGCCACACCTTCTGTCCCAGATCTCCCAAAGTCACCTCCTCGCTCACTTTCCAGAAGCTCTTTGCTCCAGGCTTTTCTGCCATGCCTGTTTTGAAGTGCCCTGATCAATTAGTAGCTCTTCCTTGTCCCTTTCTGAAGCTTCCTGGATCTCTTCCAGCTTCCAAAGAGTCCTTTGTACTCGGAGGCACAGGGTACCCTCATTAACATTTACTGCATGCAGGCTCGGAGCCAGGAGCTTAATAAACAGCAGTGTACTCTTTGCCCTCCGGGCACCCCTCAGGGAGGAAGGGTTTCGCCTCCACTTCCCAGATAACGATGATAGCATCAGGGCTGGCAGATACAGGATCTAAAGTGGCCCAGCTTGCCCCTGCTGCACACACTTTATCATGCTATGCTGCCATTACCTATCACTATGGTGCTGTGTCTGAAATGGGTGCGTTAGGGTCAGGGTTTGTGCTGAGCACTTGAGATGCAGCATTTAGGAGGCTGAAGTGGAAGAGTGTGAGTTCCAGGCCAGATTGGGTTACATGATAAGATTCTGTATCAAAGATAGAGGGGAGAGGCAGGGAGGGGAAAGGAGAGGAAGAGAGAGAAAGGGAAGGAAGAAGAAAGGAAACAAAAGAGGGAAAGAAAACTTTTCCATCGTCATTTGCGGTGCAACCACTGCCAAGATGAAGATTTCCTGTAGTGTTCCTCACCGGGAAGATCGTCACACTAAGGGACATTAGAGAAAATGTGAAGACAGAGATCCAAGGTGAAGGAGAAATTCCTCCTGAGAGCAAGACGTGCCCTTTGAGCATAAGCAATTGGAAGATGGTCACACTTTGACTATAACATTTGAAAGGCGCCCACCCTCCATCTTGTGTTGAGACTTCCTGCTAAGAAAAGAGAGAAGTGGCCAGGCTGTGTGGCCTGCACCTTTAGTCCTAACACTAAGGAGGCAGAAGCAGGCAGATCTCTGAGTTTAAGTCCAAGCTGGTCTACCAGCGCTAGATACGTAGAGAAACACTTGTCTTGAAAACCAAGATAAAAAGACAGATACACACACACACACACACACACACACACACACACACACACGTACAGAGGGATAGAGAGAGGTGTAACACCATTCCCATGAAGAAGCAAAAGGTTGATGACTGGCCGGAAATGGTACAAGATGGATGAAAATAGCAAACTTGGTGCTACTGAGTTTTCATGGCCAGCCACTTTAGCAAATATTGCCGTGGCCAAATGTCTGAGTGACTGATTCAACAAACCAGAAGGTAAGGAGTTATGTGAATTACTAAACAGATGAGAAAGAAAGAAAGAAAGAAAGAAAGAAAGAAAGAAAGAAAGAAAGA